AGCACTGGCAGAACAAGAATCTCAGCCTGGAAGGGACAACTGTAGTTAAGTATTGACCAAAGCAGTAATTCGTTTTATTTGGTTGTGAGTTATAGTAAAAATGTGCTTTGGTTGGGATGTAATTAGTAACTAAAAAAATATCTGCAGACAAATGTGTTTCTTCAAGGCCTGTTTCCTTTCTGTAGATCTGCACCTGAAGCTATCTCTACCTCAGGGGTATGAGGCCAACCTGCACCCTCTCCTCATCATTGTGTAAGTATCATTAAACAAGCTTGATAAATGACAGCTGCCATTTGTTTCGCAACCTGTGACCCCTAATCTTTTCATCGCTCGTCCGAGACTAACAGATTTCGCCACACTTGCTGATCCTATTCCTCTTGTTGTTCAGAGATGGCATTCCTGGCAGTCAGTCCGTAACGGAGGAGTTTGCCCTCGACTGGCCTCAGGTCTTCTCCAGCATGCACAACGTGGCCTTGGCCCGGGTGGATGGCAGGAGCGGGGTTGGCCGTGGACAGAAGACCACTGCTGTGGATCCACGCAAACTTGGCTCAATGAGAGTCAAAGATTATCTGGCAATTATAGAGTCAGTCCATTTATGCTAAAACAGAAGCATTTATAGATTAAATATAAAAATAAATCTTGGTAATTGAAAAACTAAAGGTCTTTTATGTTGTTTCCACAGGTTGTTAATGCAGCTGCCTTATATAGACGATCGCCGGATGGCCCTCTATGGAAAGGTTATGGCACTTTTCATTTTAGACATTTATTTCCTTTGGATGAAACTCATCGCAGATATAATTGATGTTAACACGTTTCATTTTCTCAATACAGGCATTTGGTGGTTATTTAACTCTCAAGATGTTGGCAGCAACAGATAAGCTCTTCCAGTGCTCAGCTGCTGTGGCACCAATAACTGACTTCAGGCTTTACAGTGAGCAGAGATCTTGTCATTAACTATTCATGTAACCGGGCTACGAAAATTGTGTCACAGCTCAGAGGCTGTTAATTTATCAGAGTAAAAGTTTTTCTACTGTTTGAAGGTGCTGCATTCTCGGAGAGGTACCTAGGACTTCCTGCAAAGGAGGAACATGCTTACTTGGTGAGACTCTAAAGTTAGTCTAGAACTGAGACATTCAGGTGTCTCAGTGTGTTTTGATAGGTTAAGAGATAACTTGAAGTTGATTGCAAGTTAATCACTAATAACTAAACCATTTTACCAAGTTGTTAATAACAATTTATGGTCATTTTGGAGACTTTAGTTTGCAGAGCTGTTGAATTGTACTGTGTTCCCTCGCTGATTTATGAATGGTGCAAAATATTATAAATACATTGATGATAAAATTGTCCTGAACAAAAGACCACAGCCTCATGGAAGATTTCAAAGTTGAATCACCACCCTTTAACTTTTTACCCTATTAAGACGACATTTAACTCCCCAGTAACCTCAATTATGAGTTTTGACATTCCAGTATATGATATGTATCAATAAATACATGATTTGATGACCATTAGATTAGTTTTTACTGTTTTTTTTTTTCCAAAGATAGCCGTCAAGACCACCCTCACTTACTTCTCATATAGACACAGTAATTTTGCCAGAAACCCAGAAACTGATTGTTCGGTTCAGAAAAGAGCTTAGGTCGTTTAAGGGTTACTTCTAGTCTAGTTTCAAGGGGTAGAGAGTTAAACCAATACTAAACATTGAAACTTTTTTGTCAAGGAGGGATTTACTGCGGAGCCAGTGTGATAGACTGCTATTATTTCGCTTAGGTGTACCCAATATCTCATCCCCTTTTGTAATCTTTTCAGACTGCCTCCATGCTGGAGGAGGTTAACAAGCTGAAAGATGACAACTTCCTCATTCTGCATGGAACTGCAGACGGTGAGATCATGTTCATTTTATGAAAAATGTGACAGCTATATTTCTGGGGGGTAAATTTTCCTTACATTATTTGTGGGTTTGTGTGTATTCATCCAAAGCAAGAGTACACTTCCAGCACAGCGCTGAGCTCCTGAGCCGTCTGGTAAAGGTGGAGGCCAACTACTCTCTGCAGCTGTACCCAGATGAAGGCCACGTCCTAAGAGAGCCCCGCAGCATCAAACACTTCCAGCGGACAGTGGTGAACTACCTCCAGACCTGCTTGAAGCACAGGCCCCTCCTAGATCCCATAGAGGATGAGGAGGAGGAAGATGACTGAGCCCAGCGTTCCCCTTTTTTTCTTCTGAAGGGACACTCTAAGGATTGTATGCCATCTAATGCATTACCTTGAGTCGGATATCAGGCGCAAGAGCACAGGAGTGGGGACCAACCGCATCAGATCACCTCTTATAACTTCTGGAAACATTGATGTACTGTATAATGTGTTGCACAGTTCCTGCTGTTTTAATGTATGTTTGAGGCCCTATTTGTTTACAAAATTCACTTTAGAAGATGTGGACTACTAGACAGCTAATGATTCTGCTGAGAGTTTACAAAGATTTTAAAACATGCATGTCGTAATGGCTGCATGATGTGGATTAGTTTACATTGCATTTTGGGTGTTTTGCTGATTTTAAATCTTGCCTGCAAAGGCAAAATCTGCCAACAGCCGGGAATACACGACGCACTTTAAAGGAAACTCGGTGTAAGAGATGAATCAGCCTTGCATGTTTAGTGATTTGCATTAAATGCCGTTAAAAGGCTTAAAATAAATCAGCTGCTGGATCACCCCATCTGAACAAGTCCAGTCTTACAAAACCAAATATTTGGGACAGCTGTGATGCAAGATGTCTGCATCACAAAAGTTAAGATACAACACAAGCTGTCACCACTGGTCACTGAGCTATGCATACTCTGCACAGTATTTGAGGTGTCACTGTAAAATCAGTTATTTCAAGTTCTTTTTTTATGTAGTGTGTTCCCGGCTTAAATAAACTAAGATAAGGATCATTTTTAGTGTGCCAAATACATTTTGTGGACTTTATCCACTAGTTTTGTTTGCATTTTGTGATTATGAATGACTTTGAGGCTGAGCGTATTTATACTAAATGCTCCAGTTTAAGAATGAAAACAACTGTAGGCCTGTGTACTGTATTTGGAAGTGCAGTACATTTCTGTTTTGATACATTTTAACCATTTCTTGTGTATTGCACAGTTAAATTATTCCTTGAAACAAACTGTTGACCCATTATGTTACAGTCCACAGATGCTGGGCCTGACCATCAGTCTGTCAACCATGCATGCAGTTGGTATGAAAAGAATGCCATTGATTGTAGACAACCAGCTATTCCTTTCCCCATAATTCCTTGAAAATAAAGTTTCCCATTTTACAGTGAAAATACATTTTGCTTTCTTTGCTAGTAATGAGGAAGTAAGGGCAGCGATGAAGGGGAGGAAGAGTGGAAAGCAGGTTGTTCCGGATTACACACATGTGGGGGGTATGGAAGAAGACTAGGAGAGAGGGCAGTGGACCTTTTAACCAGATTGTTTAGTATCATGTGGAGTATTTCTAATAGAGAATGTTAGGGAGTGAGAGGATCCTGGAGGAAATGAGAATAGCTACTGGTATAGAGTTTAAAGAACATGGGTAGTGTAGTGTATTGTAAAGTATTAACTGCAGAGGGATAAAGCTGATGAGCTACACCATGAAGACATGAGAAGGCTAGATTTACTGTAGAAGAGAGGTGACGATTAGTGAGCAGCAGTATGGCTTCATGCAGAGAAAGAACAGTACAGATGACATGGTTGATCTCAGATTGTTGCTAGAGAAGAATAGAGGAGGTCAGAAGGAGTGCTTTTGTGGATCTGGAGTAAGTATATGACAGACAGGGACTATGGTACTGCATCTGGAAGTCAATAATGGGAAAGAAGCATTTGAGGTTGGTGAAGAACACACATGAAGACAGCAAGACAGTGGTGAGGTATGTAGCAGGAGTTATAGAAAGGTTTAAGGTGGGGTGGGGGTGGGATTACCTCAAGGATTGGCTTTTTGTTTGCAGTGGTGTTGGATAGGTTGACAGATGAGGCCAGGAAGGATGAAGTGGGAAGGATGGAAGCAGGAAGGGTGTTTGAATTATGATGTTCAAAGACAACACTGTGATCTGTCTTGAGAGTAGTGAGCAGGTGGAAGAGAGCCTGGAGAGGTGGAGGTATGCCCTGAAGAGAAGAAGAATGAAAGCCAGTATAAACATGACAGTATAGGTGTGCATGAATGGGAGGGTAACAGATTGGAATTTAAAGATGCAAAGAGCAGGAAGTGAAGTTGGATGAGTTTAAATAACTTGGGTCAACCACCCAGAACAACAGACTGTGCATGAGATGGGTGAAGAGAAGTGCAGGCAGGATGGAGCAGTTGGAGATGAGTAATGATTTGTGACAGAAGAATAGCAGCAAGAGTAAACAGGACAGCTCAGGTAAAGTAGTTTGGAGACAAATTTGAGAGGCAATGTTGAGATTATTTTTTTATACACCTGCAGAGGAGGAATGCTGGGTACAGTGGATAAAGGATGTTGAAGATGGAGCTCCCAGGAAGGAGGAAATGAAGAATGCCACAGAGGAGACTCATGGGTAAAAGGAGGCCATAGCACAATGCTAGGGTTGGGGTAGCTATAGGTAGATGTGGGAACCTTTAAAGGTCAAATGAGAAAAACTACACTATGTTGCTGTTGTCCTTTTATCTGAATACCACTTATTAACATTGTGAAGACTTAAATGTTAAGTATAGTATATGGTTAAGTATACTGTAGCCTCACAAAAAAGCTCTTTAACTGCATCTGAACAATAGGAAGGATAAAGATAATTTTAGAAGAAAAATCCTTCAATTTGTTCGATTTGTCAGATTAAGCTAAATAATTGCGCGTTTTTATAATGTCAGTGGTTGTGAACACAGCCTGATATTCAGCCCTCGTGACAGGCTGAAGGAGAATCTCTATCCAATGAAAATAACCTCAACGGTATGTAAACCAATCAGATGCCTTTACGTAAGTGCGCCGATCCAGCCCATTGTCCAATCAACGCTGTTTGTAAATGCGGGCCTGAATCCCTCTTCAACCTTCTGCTTTCTGGAGGGGCACCTTCAACCAGGTCCGCGGTGCACTGGCAGCGGCTGTCTTAGTTGTAAAGAATAACTGGAAACAAGACTTTTAGACAGACACAATGTCGTTCCTCACTGTCACCAGGCTAGCGCCCAAACTACTTAATTCAAAGGTAAGAGAAACAGAATGAGCCTCGATGCCGCTTTCTTGGTTAAATCTGTGGACGTTTCCTTTAAGCTAACGTCGGGTTTGGTAGCTAACAGGCTAGCTTAGCCCTGTCAACCACATTGTGAAATGCAATTGGCCGAGTTTTTTGCAATTTGCTTAAACACTGACAAGAACTTTAATCATAGTAATGTATGGACCCTGTTTTTCGTAGATATTATTCAGAGACAGAAACCGTGTATCTCGTATCTTGTTAGCTAACGATAGCGCATGAATCATTACACTCATGTTGGCCTTGTAGTGTCATAACTGTGGTATGTTTGTCCAACCACCACAGAGCAAACTCTTAACTTTACGCTACGAGTTTCTAACTATTTGTAGAATAGCGTAATAACATAAAATTGTATTTTCTTTTAAATTCACTTTAAACTCAGTGTTTATTCACCATCGCAGTTGATCTTCATATTAAGATTTTAACCAACCATATAATGCTTATATGTTTAAAATACAGCTGAATAGCCGGTATAAATCATTTTTCATAAATCAATTTTTATGTAATCAGGTTAGGTCCACTGAAAAGACCTCTCTTAAAATAAGAGCTATGAAGAGGCAGTCAGCAGACAATTACAGCGAAAAAAAGCTGCAAAAATCATATAATAAAACTTTATGATATCTAAAGGGAGAGATCATACTACTTACAAGGTAGAAGGGTGCATACCTTTGGAACATCTGGGGTTAAGAGGTGAAGTATTTATTATGTTGTGTGGTTAATAATATAATAGTTATGGGATGGTTTGAAAGCTTTACAAATGAATACCATAAGATAGCTTTTAATTCTTGACGGGAAGGAAGTCCATTCAACCTTTTCAAAAAGAGCAGTGATGAGTATAAAATGTTGTTTATTAGACGTGGTTTAACTGCAGAAGTATTTATAGGTACACCCCACAATCTTGAAGATGTCCATGGTCAAGGACAGGCATGAAGGTTGACTACAGTGGAGGAAGTCAGGGTTCTTTAATTATAAACTGTTTTATTTTCCCTTAAATGAAAGTGTTTTGTAAGGGCATATAACACCATTTTTATTTTCTGCCTTTAAAACTAGGATGTGGCTGCTTGGAAAATGTTAAAGGTAGATGAAGCATAGTCATACTCTGAGCTAGGACAATTAGGTATTCATTAAAATAATTACATTGACAACTAGAGATCCCCTGTGGTGTTCTGTTTCTAATGGTAAAATTGCATGATTGATGATATAATCCCATCAGCAGCAGTCTGGGTTTTGTCTGTGAGATTGGAGATTAACCGGTTAAATGTGGCTTTATCTTGACATGGAGACAGAAATAAGATTTATGGTTTATGAAATGGGCAGGGCACATTTTGTATCTTATGTTTTTATAAATAGAGTATTAGAAAAATATATATATATCAAGAATGAAAAGAGCAAAAAAAACAAAAACAAAAAACAAAAAAACCTCTTGATTCTTTTGCTTTGATGTAGTTACTTACTAAGGTGGAAAGTTTTTTGTTTTTTTGTTTTTTTCTTGTTTGTTTGTTTTGTTTTTGCTTTGTTTTATTATTTGCTTCAAGCCCTGTGTACAGGAGCTGCATGCTAAAAGATCTTTTGTTAAAAGGGTTGGCGTAATAAGCAAATGCTTCAGCCAATACCTTTTGATTAGCCTTGTCTCATGCTTTCTTGCTTTGTGGTAGATCTTTGTTCTGTCTTCACTGAGATATTTGAATGCTAATCAATAAAAACATATCAAACAAACATAAATGTCCAACATTAGGGTAAAATCCAGTTGCATTTGGAAGAGCATATTGCTGTAATGTCCATTGAAAAAATGTGATTATTTGAACAGATAAATGACTTTGTTTTAATTAAATCATTTAAAATATGCTTTGGCCAGCCTGTCAATCTTAAAGTACCCTTCCAGTGACCTTAGTCCACTGCTTTACTCCAGTGACCTCTCAGTATGAACTACTTGGTTGCCATATCAAGTCAAGTCTCCTACTACTAGATAATTTTTCAGTCATGGCGACTAAGTAGTGTCTCTCTTTCTTTGAAATCTCTATCATATGTGGGGAGCTCACCTATGTCACAGTTACCTTTCTCTCTTATCATTTGTAATCTTTGCTCTGGAGATTTATTAGTAAGCTGTAGTTACATAAGAACGTATGTGTCTGAACTATGAAAGTCATGTGATTTTTAGTGACACAATGAAGTCTTATAAAGGAGAGTCTCATGATTTATTTTTTTCTTGCTTCAGATCATTTCATCTTTTGAAAAGGGGGATTGTTTTAAGTACCTCTAGATTTAAATGTTATTAAAATGTGTATTCCTTATACCAAGATGTCTGTTTTGATTTGTTTGTCCATAGAGAGGATGGCTTTGTTGCTAATCACTCAAGCATCATGTGTTTCTTCTAAACACAGCCTCCGGAGGGGTTGCCTTTTTGTGTGGTTGTAGTTGCTCTTTAACCCTGGCTGATGGACAGTTGGGAGTGAGTGAGTTTAACTGGTGCTCTATATTTAAGACACTGAGCTGTTACATAATCTCCCTGATGCTCAGCGGGGTAAACTGTGTATGTAGTGACGCACCCTACCTTTTTGTTTCGCTGAGCCTTGATGGTCCTGATTATTCAAAACGGTTGTGGTTATGAGGAGTAACTGTCTCCTGCCCATTGATAATCTACTGATATGTTTAAATGAACACACAGGAGTCGTATTTCACTAGTGAGTGAGACAGCCAGCTGAACTTCTCACTACTATTAATGAGTTTCCATTAAGAGTACTTTTATAAACACTTTTTTTTTAATTCATGCCTTGACATGAAAGGAAGGAGGCATCTTTTCCTAGTTTGTGAGTAATTAGGTTGCTTCACTCTGGATTTGCCCCTTGGATACATGTAATGGCTGGTTTACATTTTACCAACAGTTAGATCTGAAAGAATAAGAGTAGATGTACTTTTCCTGGCTTTACAGGACCAGTCTGATTGTTTTACACCAGCATTAACATTGTGAAAAAAACAAACTAGAAATGACACACGGGCGCGAATAATTTGTTTATATTATAATGAGATTGTGGTGTGAGGTTTTTAGAAAAGGTGCACACTGTGCTGTTTGAAAGAGGCGGGGTAATATTTGTGTGACTTGGAACATCTCCACAGTTTTGGCAGATAACACAAAGCCCCAGTTTGTGATCCGATTTTTTTTTTTTTTTTTTTTTTTTTGGGCCAGGTTGTCAGGCTTTGAAGGTATCAGGTGCAGAATGCCCTGAAATGGCTGTCACTAGTGGCTCTTTGTTGCAGACCATGTACTGTGAACTACCCAGTTATAAGTGTTGTTGTTTTTTTAACTCTAAATTTTGGGCAAGTTTGAGTGGCAGTTAGAAAATGATGATGAAAATGGAGAAAGTACTCTGAATAACTGCTTAGTTTAGTGAAAGCTTATCGTCATATTAAAAAAATAAGATGGCATTTACCAACATCAGTAGCCGATATGTATTTGGTACCATGTAATGGTTAGTGTTCAGAAATTGTTTGATGAAGAGCAGAAATGGAAATGGGCTTGTGCTTGTAACAATCAGTGTAATATTGGTGTAGCACCAGTCTTGCACAAGGATACATTAACATTTGGAGGAGGAGCCTCTAACCGAATCACTGACCTTCCAATTAGTAGCTCTACCTCCTGAGTGACAGCCGTGCTAGTGCTGTGGACAAAACAAGCAAACAGTATTATATAAATATAATACTGTTTGCTTGTAGTGTCATTTTTTTCTGGACCACAATAAGAACAGTTGTTACTGTGGGAAATCAAAAAAAGAGAAAAAAATTATTATAGAAAATGTCTGTGAAGGTTCTCAGTCATCCAGGTCATCGTAGTCAAAGGAGCTTGCAAAGAAAAGCAAGCTCCAGACGCTTTTCTTTGCAAGCTCCTTTGACTATTATAGAAAATGTTTTTTTTCCTGTGTAAAAGTTTCTGTACACTTGGTAAAAACACTGTGATTCGTTTAACATGTATATTGCTTACTACAGAGAAAGAGTTGGAGCCATTTCACTCACAGACTGATTGCAGTATTATCCTTAGAAATGTTTTGTAGCTTTTAAGGACCTCCAAGGTTGTTTCATTTTAAATACAAGCAGTAGGTAGTCTAGAAATTCTGTTATTACTATAATGTTGTTTTGTGTGTGTGTTTTGTTGTACTAACAATCCAAATTGTATTTCCTAATATGTTCTGCAGAATGCCTCTTTCCTATTTGTGGCTGCCAGAAATGCCAGCGCATCAACAACAGTAAGTGCATTTAATTTACTCCACTGTTTTCTGCTTGTTTTATATAGCTGTTCTGTAGTTTTACTGTTTGTGTTAACAACCTTTGGAAGAGACATTGGTCCTTACTCTGTGGTCTCTGTGAAGATATTGACATTTGTGGAGCAACAAATCATTTTTTTTTCCTGAAATGTTTGCATAAAGTTTGTTTAACCACAGATCACAAGGGAATGTAGTCTATTTTAAGGCTGAATGTTTATTCAAGGGCATTAAAGAGTAAACATCGTCTTTTACAGAATCTGAAGGATGTCCTCTCAGACCTCATTCCTAAAGAACAGACCAGGATCAAGAACTTCAAACAACAGTATGGGAAAACCAACATAGGGCAGATTACTGTAGACATGGTAAGTGGCGGAGATTTTTGCACACGTTTAGTGAGCTGAATAAAATAAGACCCTCACACAAGTGAGGCACTGAGCTGGATTCCTCAGATCGATTATATTAATTCAGGGAGGAGCATTTGGGCTTTACCTTGATGCAGATTAGCTGTGGCATGTTAGCTGCACATAATCCATCTAGGCCTGCCTGGTCTTGTTTACTGTGCCAGGTATCACTGTTCGGTCATCTCCCTCAAAGGTCACAAATTGTGCTGCTTCCTGCCAAC